TTGGGATCCCATGCTACATATGTAACTAACAGTTGTAGTTTAGCTATTTTTACTTTTATTTTAAATAAGTCTATTAAATTGTCATGATTTTCAAATTTTATATACAGTAGTCGTGCATGTTTCTCAATCTTTCTTGATATGTGTTGGGATCCCATACTACATATGTAACTAATAGTTGTAGTTTAGCTATTTTATTTTTTATTTTAAATAAGTCTATTAAATTGTCAGGATTTTCAAATTTTATATACATTATTCCTCAATATTTGTTTATTGTTAACTTCTAATTTTTTTAACTAAATTTTTATTTTTTTAAATTGTGGGATGTGCTACAATTGGAGACTTAAATTATTGACAATTTATTTGATCCTCGGTATAATTTTTTATTGTGTCTTTTAATATTTAATTTTTACTCTTCTATAATGATACTTTTTAAAAAAATTATATTTGTAATGTGATTTTTTGTTGAATATTCTTATTATTTTGATTTTGATTTATTAATGTTTTACTTTTCTTTTATTGGTTTAAATTTATGTTTGGCAACCACGCTTTATTTTTTATTCAATTTATTCTATGAGGTCCATGTGATATATGTACTCACATTTAAGACTAATTTTTATTTTTAATATCTTTTATATTTTTTCATATTCAATTTTTAATAATTTTTAAGAACTTTTAAAGTATAAAAGTAAATTGATTTCTCCATAAAACTTCATTATCAAAAAATAGATTCAAATTTTAGATTAAAATGTTGAGAAAATCTTTAAGAATAGATTGGGATGTATGATAAAGTTGAGTAAAGAGATCATGTTTCTTTTATGCCTTTTGCTATTCACTCATCCTAAAGTGCTTAACATGACCCAATCTCTTTTTGATAGAAAAACATTGTTTAAATTGGATACTTGCTAAATTGAAATTCTTCTTAGAAAATAGCAATACATTTGTTTGATTTTTCATAAAATGAGATCAACTTTTGCAACTTGAACGTCTCATGCTATTCGGTTTGAGTTTTAACTTCCATGGGTTGCATGTGGTATCCATATTGATTTTATCTCTTATAATATTTAAGTTTAAGGATATAATAAACCCACAATAAAAATATAAGAGTAATAAAGATGCATATCATAAATTAACAATATAAATAATTATATTAACTGTATAAGTTTGGTATTTTAATCATACCTTATTTTATATTTACGTGCAACACATATTATCCTACTAGTACACAAGAAAAGAAAAAACACACATTAGGGTATGAGCCCCACTTCCTTAATTCCTCGGGAGACATAGCAATGATGTGTCAATCCTAGTTACTACCCGTAATCGCATAAATGATTGTTACCCCCTGGTTGCACCTCCCGGGCATTTGTCAGGTCTTTCACGATTACTATTCATGAAATCAACAAAATGGGCTCGCTTAGCGCTGAAGTGGCAAACAGTGTCATCAGGTTTCTTGGGGAATAAGGATAAAAGGTGACACCGATTAGGGAAAATGCACGACACCAAAAACCCGTCACAAACAACAAAAATCTTTATAAACAACAAAATGAAATATTAATGGGATTGTATATTATGAGACTATTTATTTTTTGGTACAAGGAAGTCACAATCAGTTTTAGTTATTAGATGAGAAATCTTATAGTTGAATGTGTGTCGCAATAAAATTTAAGTGCTCTTGTCAAAAAAATTAAAAAAAGTGTGTTAGAACATTCAATAAAGTGAAATTGCATAAAACCCCCAAACATGGAATTTCTAATCAATTTACCCCCAACCTAACTTTTCCTAGCAACTTCCCCCCCACCCTCCCTTCCAAAACCATGTTTCCCAGCAAATATCCCCCAATACAAAAAGTTCATTTTTTTTTGACGAAAATACTCTTCCCGTATATAACAAATCATTTTTGAATCTCAATAAAATGAAATGTCGGACCACACTTGTACAACGCCAGACTGTTCACTTCAAAATGCCGAACCGCCACTTTAAAACGTTGGACTGCCCCATCAAAATGCCGTACCGCCACTTCAAAACATCGGACTACCACCACTTCAAAACGTCGAACTGCCCTGCCCCTTCAAAATGTCGGACCGCTATTTCAAAATGCCGGACTGAAACGTGGGACTGCCCATCCCAATAAAATAATCGCCGGACCGCCTCTTCCAAACGTCGGACCACCCTCTCCAGCGAAAATGATTTGTTATGTAAGGGAAGGGTATTTTCGTCAAAAAATTGAACTTTTGTATTGGGGGTATTAGCTAGGAAATATGGTTTTTTTGGGGGAGTTGCTAGGAAAAGTTAGGGTGGGGTAAATTTCTTAGAAAGTCTATTCATGGGGTTTTTTTTGCAATTTTCCTTTCAATAAATTCTATCTTTGACATTGTGACCAATCAATGACACATCCTCAACCACCCGATTTTTAAATCCAATGGTCAATGATGATTATGACTTGTATTAAAAATAAAAAATATATTTCCAATATGGGTATGTTTTTATGTAATCTCCTAAAGCAGATATTGTCGGATTTGGCAATTGCAAACATTTTTAACAAAAAGAAAGGTGGATAATTTACTCTAAGATAATTCTCAAGAGTTCAGGTTTTGGGAAATTAAAGGGCTAGGGCACTTAGTGGCAAAGGGAGGGTATACTTTCATGTGTCAAACCTAGTCTTATTTAAGGGCCACAAAATAATTTTATTTTTTATTTATAAATTATCATTACCTGAAACTTGGAGCGCAGATTTATAAATAAAAATGATACAAAAATAATTTGAATAAAAGATAGACCGAAGTATCCAAAGTGTAGTTGGATTAATTGCATATCTTATGATAGCTTGGTTCCATCTTATAGCTTTTAAATACAATTAAAAACAAAAAGAAATTATTTTTTGGCCGTTTGATTGTGGTTCAATATGGACAATAGGAAAGTAACTTCCGCTAGTGTAAGGTATGTGCTCTATGGTCAAAGTAGAGGTCTATCTCCACCAAAAAATGCAGTTTTTAGGCCAAATATTTTTGTGATGGGGTGAAATTTTATCAAGCTTTATATAAAATTGAAACTAGATAATTCAGATAATGCGTTATAAAGTACATTATTTTAAGGCTTAAACTTTTTTTTTTTTTTTTTGACAAAAATAAAGAAAGTTTGTTACTAAGGTTCAAACACCTGCCATGGCTTGAAATCGATTCTCTCGTATAGAAAATTGTCTAAGATGACCCCAACACTTTGAATATTACTTTGCTTGCACCTCAATTGATTTTTTGATGGCAATTTGCATAAACTTCTTCCAAAATAATTACATATATTAATTTTCCAACCCTCAATCACATAGTGTTAAAAAAAAAAAAAGGATTGATGACCTGGATTACCTCTTCAAAAACCCAATCTAGATCAGCCGATTGGTGGTTTGAATTGCAGACTGGCTAAGTGAATCAGAAAATGAAAAATAAAAATTAAAAAAAAATAAATAAAAAATAAAAAGAGTGGGAGTTGCTTTCTTTCTTCTTGCTGCAATTCTAAAACTCTGCGATTTCTGGATGCGACTTCTTATTCAAGCTTGATATGAAGGGTCATTGCTATAGCAATAGCTGTGAAATGGTTGCTTTACATTAAGGGCATGTTTGATGAGTGGAGGTTTTTGAAAATGGGAGTTAAATGTCCCACTTCTATATTTGATATTACTGTGTGGAATCTGTAAAGTGAAAAGGCGACCTTCCATGCAGCTTTTGTTTAGTGTCAAAATAGGTTCATATTTGGAAGACCTCTCTTCCATAAAAAATAATGGAAGAGCAGTCTTCCATGATTTGTGGGCGAGTCTCTTCCTTTTCCAAAAACTCCATGTGTCAAGCACACCAAAAGAACTATTGAAGCCCAATAATCGTGCAAAACTGCCCGGTACATCTATCACCTTTGCTTTACATTGGATATTGAAACCTAATAGCTGTGTGCTTTACATTGGCTATTGAAACCTAATAGATGTGCAAGATTGCCTGCTATGTCTATCTCTCGTAAATATATTGTGTAAGGTTCCGTCTTTGCGCTAGCACGAAGCATCAATAAAGGACCCGTGTTGACTCGCAGGGTTCGACATTTGATTTGGTGGAGAACTTGCGGTGCAAGTTCACCTCGTGATGCTGTTTTTCTTTTGTGCCACATCTTGCCCGAGTCTCTGCAATTTTTTTTAGTGTGGGACTTCGGAGTATTTTTGATGTAGTTCGTGTTTGAGGTTGTACAATTTGGTCAAGTATTGGGATTGAGTGATTGGTGTAGTTGGTGTTTGGGGTTATTTAATTTGGTTTTGGGTTCTTGATCACAGTCACAATTTCATATTTTTTTTGTAAGTTACTTTTCTTTTATTATATTGTTTGGTCCAAGCTTTCAATTGGGTATTATTTTCTATTGTTTGGTCCAATCATTCAATCGGGTATTTTTTTTTTTTGAGGGTTGTTTCGATACCTATGTGTGTTTAACAAGAGAGGCATTGGCATTGGGGGTTTCTATTGCTTCGATATCTACTTCCGTACCCCATTTATCTATTTGTTAGTGGGATTGTATATCATGCGACCACACCATATTTGCTAGCAAGATTGTATACAATGAGATCATTTACCTTTGATATATCGAGGTTATAATTACAACTATCTTATATGAAATTTGATACAATTATCTTATATGAAATTTGATAGGTTGGGTGGGTTTCAAAAGAATTTCGTTTGAACGTTGAGCGTGGTCAATAAAATGAACGCCCCACCCAATTTCACATCAATGGTCAAGATTAATTGTCCAAATATTCTTATTTTATACCTTGCCCCTTGTTGGTTGAGGTTCTCCCGATCATTTGGGGACTCTTCTCTCTCCTCATAAATTGGTGGCCTTTTTACTCACGCTTCAAAATTCTGCCTTTTCCATCCTAAATTTACCCCGGACCAAGTGCAAAGCTGCCGTCACTCTTAAAGCTAGTGCTCTCTCTCTCTCTCTCTGCTTTTGCTTCCTTTCCTAATTGGGTTTTAGTCTTTCTCCCTCTTCTTTTTATCCCCTTTTGATCTTTCTTTGTGAGCTTTTCTTGTTGGTTTTATTGGAAGGATTTTATTTGTTATCCCCTTTTCAGTATTTTCATTTGAACTCTTCCTCTTTGGGTTTTTGGGGGTGATCTTATTTGTTTAATGGGAGACTTGGATTTGTTCTTGTACAGAGGTGTAGCAGTTGTAGCATCAGGGAATGGCTGGGATAGCATTGTTGCTTGATCTTATCAGCAAGGATCATGGGTTATCAGACAAATCTTCTGTTCTTTCTCGTGGGGTCGTCTCTGCTTCCTTTGCGGTTTCTGCTACATTGGCTGCATCGCCTTTCGCTTCTCGGCTTCTTTCTGGGTAAGCTCAGAATTTTTTATTTTATTTTATTAATATTGTAGTTGCTCTTGTTTTTCTATTGGTATTGTTGATGTTGAGCAGTGACGTACATGAGAGTTCTGGCGGTTGGGTATTGATTTTGATCGAATATACTGTGCAATTAGTAATTTAGGATCATGAAATATTTATCTTTGGCAAGATCTCTAAGGAGTTGAGCACTATTAAGTCTTATTGAATATGCTATGTAATTGAGAGACGAATGCTTATTTATTTGAAGAGAAAAAGAAGAAAAAGCACCAGAAGATCATTCTCAGGGTTTTCTTAGCTTACGGACTCAAGCCCTGTGCTAGGATTTGGGCTTGGGATCAATGGGTTTAGATGTTGATGGTTGCAACACTAATTCCCAAGTTTGACTTGAGAAATCTTTTTTGAAAAAGCCTATTTCGAGGAAAGGATCCGTGAAACATGGGGCTTTCAAGCAATTAACATTTAGTTGTTGGGAATGCCTTGAATGTATGATGTCCACGCTCTTATGGTTGGTTGAGTACATTTTTTATACGAGTATTTTGAACTTCTGTAGTGGTGGGTTCTCGTTTTGCAATTCTATTATTTTTCCAAAAATGATGAGTTCATCTAATCTTAAGGTTCAATGGATTTGTGAAATGTGGTTTGGTTACCCATGTTAATGATTCACTGATGTATGACTTTCTCATAGGGATGGTATTTGAGGATCCTTCACTGTGTATGAATGTAATGTTTGGTACTTAGACCAAAATCTAGTGTTCATACTTACAGATGGTCTGCTTTTTCTCATCTCCACAATCAGGGGATAAGTAGAGATGTTAGATGCTGGGTATGAGTACCCAATACTATTACAGGGTACATTATAAAGACATGATATTTGTTCACCATAGTTTCTGAAGGTTAAGGAGAAGCCTTTTGCAGCATGTTTTTTAATTTTATGTGGTATATGCACAACGATTTTATTTAAATGTTGATCTTTCTCAAGAAAGAGAAGGTATGAAATATTTCAAGACTGATCTGAGCTAACCTTGGCCAAAGGAGAATTGGAGTGAGAAGGTAAAATCCAAATTCTTATATGTGAGCCAGTATGAATGGAATATTGCTTAGGATTGTAAGGTTTTCTGTCGGGATCTGCTACCAAAGTACATATTTTTATTGATCCTGAATGATCTTGGAAAAAGTGTATGATTAAGTAAGCACTAATGATTACAGCTTATAGCAGTTAGGCTCCTGAATTTCAAAGTTTCAAACAAAGGTAGCAATGGATAGTTCTGAAGCGTCATAATTTTAATTAAAAAAAAAAATTTGAAGCTTCATAAATTCTTGGTTTTAAGCTAGAGAAATGGCAACCATTTCATTCTCTTGGTAATCAATGAGGATTGTGACTGTATTAGACGAATGCATAAAATTTAATAAGACGTAATATTTCTATTTGAGGATCAAGCAACTGTTTAGAAATCAATTATTTGAATCTTTATAGGATTAAAAAGAATAATAAGAATGAAACTTTGTAAGTGTTTTCAATGGTCTTGTGCCCCCCCGCCCCCCCTTCCCTCTTTTCCTCCCACACACACACACACATAAAAAAAAAACGAAACAAAAAAGAAGTGTGCAGTTTGTATAAGGTTAAGGCTCTAAACAATCAAAGTAAGGCTTATCTCTAAATAGCGTCGAAAGATAATTTTTCAGTAGCAAAAATATTTGTGATGGCTTGAAAATTTATTTTCAGTTCTAATTATAAAATTTAAAGCTTCAAAAATATTTTAGATTGAGGATATCTATAAACGCTAAAAAATATTGAAAACTGACGACCTAGATAATGCATTACAAGATCCACTATTTCCCTGACTTGAGAAATCCATTTTTTTCATATCTATACATCTTGAAGTCGAGATGATCGATTAGGTTTTTCGACATCGAAACAACCTCTTCTATTGACTTTTTGAGGTGCACTTTAGTTTGATTGTTTAGGGCTTCAACCTTATAGACCTTCTTTCAAAAAAAGAAAAAAAGAAATTTTTTTTACTCTTTGTGTGTTACTTGTTAAATGTGATGTGATGTGTTACTTGTTAAATGTGATGTGATCCAACATTTACCTAGTTATTGTCGAACTTTTCATGTTTCATTTTTTTTCTTTTTTGGAAAAAAAAAAATATGCCTGGCACTTTTGAACACCTTGAAATTAAGATCACTTAGAAAACGAGGGCTTTAGAGAAAACAATTTTAGTTTATGCGATTATAGTGCATATGGAACCTTTGGATGAATTCTTCCAATAGTGAACCAATAAAATTTCACCCATTTATATGACTTAAATCTGATACGTTTCTGTTGAGAATACAACAAAAAGGTACATTCCTGTTGAGAAACCTTTAGATGTCAATTCTCTCTTGTGCCTTCTTTTCAATAGTGTTGCAAAATTGTTTTATTGGGGTAATGTGAAGTACAAACTACTTCTCTGGATTTATATCTTTTATAAGTTATTTGGTTTTTGTGAACATGCACGCTTATAAGTGTTAAATTTTGTTGCTTATAAACCTTCCGTTTCCTTTTTTTGCATTTGATACTCTAGAAATCCTCTCTGCTAACAGATTTTTACATTTAATTTTCAGACGTTCCACTGCCTTTTGTGATGCTGCTGCAGTATTGAATGGAGATTATGTTTCCAATAGTCGTAGAGTTTCTTGGAAGGGTTATTATAGCACAGACCCTTATTCATACACAACCAAGGAGTATCCCGTAGAGTTAAAGCCTTTGTTCTCGGCTTTTCATTGGAAGGCCCTTGCATTGACATCATTGAGGTCTTTTCTGATGTTTTATTTGCCTCTCCTTGAACCTCATCCACCCCCAAAAGATGATGATGATGATGATGATCTCCTTACTGATGAACCTGAAGAGAAGCAGCCCGTTGATCTTGTTGTTCCCTTAAAGAATTCAGTGATTCAAATCTTTCGAGAGGTAATCCATTTGCTCTTGGGGTAAAAATCAGGAGAATACATGGAAATTTGCAGTGATCATGCAGGTTGTCCATAAAATTGAACTGTCACGGCAGTGGTTGGGCCTGTTGATTTAGTAAATGACCTTTTTATCTCAAATGGTGTTTGAAATAATGTTGTGAAAGTGGCAAAGTGAATGAAGGAAAAATGCGTCATTCTAATAATTGACTGGTTAGGGCACTCTCCTGATGTTTCAAATTTCCGGGCCTCTTTCAAGATCCATGCGGTGTTCTAAGTTGTGATATTTATCCCTACTTTAGATGATAATTATAAAGAAAGAGATATTCCCTACTTTTAGATAAAGAAAGATTATTTGTGCCAACTAGCTGATTTTGGTTTGAGCTGGCCTGTGACAATCATTAACTGGTTGTTTAAAGTTATACATCCTATATAAATATAAACCAGCCTGCAGCTGTTACTAACGTATTGCTGACTACTGGTCATCACCCTTGAGCACAATGTGACCTAGATGCTAGTGCTTTCAAAGATCTTTGTGAGATAGGATGATCCTGCATCATATAGGGCCATCTTTTCGCTGATTTACATCAGTACACTCTCACGATCAAATTTTGGTTTAAATTGTGTCAACCATGATATTATCTGAAATTGGGGCAACTTAGTCAGTGCAGGATAAAAGTATAAAACCAAGAAAAGCAATTGAATTGATTAGATTAGGGTCACAAATACATTAGAATGGTGAGCTTCAAATAAGTGGGATGCAATGCACCATGAAATGTTTGAGTTACAATTTTTTGTGGTCAACTTCAATGCAAAAAAGTGGAGTACTTAGTCATTCTCATAGACATGAAGACTTGAAGATAAGAAAGAAAAGATGGAATGCAATAGAAATGACTTGTTGGTCATATGCTTAGATGCTTTTGAATCAGTTATCTTGTTGGATGCTGTTGAAGAAATATTGATGAGAGAAAGGTTCCCTAAAAATTGAAGGTTAGCTCTTTACATGGTATTTATGGAGCCCATCATGTAGCTTTTCAGCACATTGATTTGAAAAAACTGTGCTATATCATTAAATGACTAACTTCCTCTGCGTCCTCTAGTGATTTAAAAGCGGACTGCCTAGCCCCTGGGCAGCCGCCGAGGCGGTCTAGAAGGCCTGGGCGATATCCTTGGGCACCTGCCTCGGCACCCGGGAAACCCCCGCCTAAGTCGCCGACTGAACCCGTCTAGGCGGGCTGCCAAGGGCCTGCACCCCACCCAGGGGCGGAAATACCCCTCGTTGAGGGCATTTTTTGATCATTTTTTTAATACTAAAAGGGTAAAATTCTAGGTTTTAGGTTCATTTGAAACCTAAAACTCATTAGAGCCTATTTTAGAGAGAGAAAAACGCCACAATTTTTTTCTTTCTACTGGGCCGTTCATCGACTTAGGTGCGGGGCCCCCTGGACCCTTCGGCCGCCTAGTGCTTTTTGAAACACTGGCGTCCTCCCAACCATTTGGATCCCTTCTTCTTGCCAGCTCCCAATTCATCCTCCTTGGCTGTACGCACACCTATTGACACTTCCTTAATTTGTAACATCCATTCATAGCTTCAAACTGTCTTTGCTTCGGGAGTTTTAATCCCTATGTTTCAAACTTACTTTGCATCTGGAGCTTTAGGCCTATTCTTTCCTCATGAATGTGTGTTGTGTATGGAATAAAATAAGAATATCCATTACATTAGACCATATGAGCTAATACTGATTCCTTCAGTGTTTTAAACAAGGAAAATTTTCAAACCACCCTCATGAGATGCCCTATTTAACACTTCATGTATTTCCCTTGCCTTAGTTTCATAAATCCCCTTGAAGTACATTTTATAGGGTTAGAAATTGTCAGAGGGGTAATTTCCAATGTAGTCCCTGCTTCGAAACCGAAGAAATTTAAGGAAACCACTTATTTGCAAAGATATCAGTATTTCTAATACCATAATCTTGCCAAAACTTGACATACTTATGATGTTCATGTTTGAATATACCAACAGAAGGTGATATATGAATATGTTGGTGTTTCAAACTACCAATATTTCACAGGTCATCTTTTTTTGAGAGAATATTGGTGTTTGGGAGAATATTTCACAGGTCATTTAGAGTCAGATATTTGTGTTGTGTTTGGGAACACCAATATCTTGGGAAAACTTCACAATCGTAAGATAGTCGTGCCAAAAATACCAATATCTTACAAGGTGACTTATTGATATATTGGTTTCAAGGGTGGTTTACATGATGGAATATTGCTGTTCAGAAACACCAATATGTCTAAAACTCTTAAGGGTAATTTACTAAGTGAGTTATTGGTGTTCGAAAATAAAAATATCTCACTAGGTGTTTAGATTGTGATATTGGTATTGTAGTGATTAACACGTCATCGATCTGGAATCAACCAAGCTCGTGCTGGTTCTTGGTCTAAATCGGTGATCAAGTTAATATATCATAATAATGCAGCCAAATGATATCACAACTTTTAAATGGCTCAGTTGGCTAGAGCCCGTTGACCCTTGCCATAAGGTCGGAGATTTGAAGCCCGGCGCACTCTTCTTCTATTTTATTTATTTATTTATTTATTTGTTTAAATTTTAGTGTGTGTGTGTGTGTGGTTCGTTATATACTATATCACAATTTTTAAAGCATAAAAGACGGAGGATGTTATATACTATATTATGTAGTATAAACAATTTTTAAAGCTTAAAAGAGGGAGGACTCAAACCTCCGACCTTGTGGTTGTCAACCACAGGGCTAGCCAATTAGGCTCTTCAAGTTATTTTTTTATAGTTCATAACTACTATATCATCATCATCATCATCATCATTATTTATTTTGCCGGATTGCCAATCTTGCGAATCCAGATTGGGACTGGTGGGTAGGTAATCCAACCCATCAATTTGCTTTTGAAAACATTGAAGCACCAATGTCTTGCGAATCGGTGGTTTTTCTAAAAATTGGTTGGCTTTTAGAGGGACAAAATTGTAAATCACCTCTGAAACAATTTCTGGCCCCTTATGATGGGTTCTTTACGGACACTTTTGAAACTAGGGCAAAGCAAACAGGTGAAATGTTAAATTGTGCATCTCTTGGGGGTGGTTTGGTTGAATTTCCCTTTTAAATGCTATATTTTGTAGTGGAGGTGGTCTTAATACTTGCTCAAGGTTCAATAGAAATTTTCTTGTTCTCTATTCATAGCATTACAAAATATGTGGCACCAATGGATCTTGTAGTATTATAATTTTTTCAATTTTTGGTATCAATAAAAAAATTTTCTCTTGTATTTTTCAAGTGTATCTGAAAAGATGTTGTAGTGACGGGTTTCATTTTCAGACGACTGTGGTGACAACTAGGCGGGTTCTGGAAAGGATTGCTGTCCATTATGTTTCAAGAAGGATGGCTTGGAAACTCCTCAAAGGTACTTAGTTTCCATAAGTATATGTTATCGAACACTGAGAACATGGTTTTGAGTATTCTTTTCTTAACCCTGACAGATAATGATTTGCATCCTTGTTTGACCAGAACAGGATTTAATGAAGACTGGTTCTTTCTGTTCCATGAATTCTGGAGATGCATTTTTATATGGCATTGTATACTATGAGACCATTTAGCCAACCCCAAATAATTGGGATAAGGCTTGGATGATGATGGTGATGATACTATGAGGGCTGGATCAGCTAGAAGGCCCGGTTAGGCCCACTCGCATCTTAGATGGCCTCACGGGACCCACTAAAGAGCAAGAGAGAGGGGTGGACCTGCTATAGAGTCCAGCCTACGTAATGAAACCCGTTAGATTTAGGATCCTTGTCAATTTTGATTGCCTTATTTCTGCAATTTTCATATAGTTAGGACTTGAGACATTATGTTAGTTTCCTAAATTAGATTTTGTTGTTAGTCAAGTAATGGCTGAGTTGGCCAAAGTTTATTGAGATTATGGGTTTAAGAACACTACAATTTCATGTGTAGGCCTACACCCAAGTGACTGACATTTGAAGATTTGAAACAAAGTTTGTTTGCGATGGTACTTTGTTTTTGATAGTGGCTTCCATATCTTGAGGTGCAAACTCCTCAAACCTTCTTCATGGGGTCGAAGAACACTATAACTTCATGTGTAGGCCTATGCCCAAGACAATGACGTTTAACAATTTGAAACAAAGTTTGTTTTAGATGGTGGCTTCCATCTCTTGATATGTTGATTCCTCAAACCATCTCTGGTGTTGATTTCATGAATCGGTAGATTTTTATAATGTTGATTTTTGTCACTTTTAGCCCGAACTGCAGTTTGGTGTGGTGTTGATTTCTTTCCCATTTAGGTTTCTTCTCAATCTTCCATCCACGCCCCAGTCCATCTCATCCATGTTGTCTATTTAAATCAACATCTCCCAAGCCTCTACCCTGCTTTGGTTGTTGGTTAATGACTGTGATGATTGGTTGTGCTTTAGATTATTGGTTAATGACTTTGATGATCGATTATGCTTGAAAGTGAATTCTCTTGGTCTTCTAGTTAGCACCAAGCTGCATTCTATTGTTTGGTGACTATAGCGTAATTGGTTATGCATGACTGCACTTCAATGGTCGCTATATGCTTTGGATATGTGATCTTTCAAGCAATTTTCCTTAATCTGCCATGAATTAAAAGGTTACTTGGAATTCAAACTCTGAAATGTGGCTGGTTTATTAAACCAGTATAAATATGGTAACAATTCAAAAATATGATACAATAAGCCAAATCTTGTTGGTCTGGCCAACAATTCACAAAAAAGATTGATTGGTATGGTCAGCCTGGTTTGCGTGAGTAAGGCTTTGAAGTTGGGGTGTATTCAGATTTTCATTTCGGATGTTTTCATGATGACAATGTTTGTTTATTCATTTTTCCAAAGTGATGCTTTAGCCTAGCTGACTTTAGGTATTAGAGGTAAATAGTATATACTAATTTGGGGCTTTCTTTGTCTACTATCAAGAAGTTAAGAAAGGAGAACTAACAGATAAACCTAACGGTTGTAGATATGCCGAAATCAGCTACTCGCAAATACCAAAGAGGCACTCCAACTGTATTGTTGTTTTATGGCGTTGCCAAATCAACTTTGAGAGGTGAAACTTCATTATCCATTGCACCTGCTTTTCAATTTTGGCTTCCATGGTTTCCGCATTGAAATTTTTTAATCAATATCAAAGATTCAAAAGTTGTATCTATTGGCTTTTCCCTTCTTTCGTCAAATGTGACAGGGCATTTCCTTGGAGTTGCTGCTTCATGGTTGGTCCAAGTCGGAATAGAAATATATCGATGTGTGCATGTTTTTGTTGAAAGTAGTGATGAAGATCTTCGATCAGAGCAAATCCAACTACTTTGGAGGAATGTTTGGGGAGCGACTCTAAGGTGTGGAGCTTCTTTGGCTTTTGCTCCTATTGGAGCAGGTTTTGGTGCAGCGATTATCCATCCTTCACTTGGACAATGGGTTGGTATGTGTCACTTATTCATTGTTGTTGTTATTACTATAATTTCTTAATATGATATATAAGATACTTGTTACATATATAGTTTTTTATGGGAATATATATGATATAACTTTTTAAGGGAATATATATGATACTACTCATACACTGTTTGTTTTACTACTATTGTTGTCCTCCTTCCAATGTCCTGTTTCATTCTCCTTCACGGGTGATGGAAGTGAACTGTCCCTCTACCTGGGTGGACAATGGTGGAGATAGAGTCCTATCCACCGTCCGATTTACATGTGGTGTACAATCAATAAACTACATGTATGTTAGCCTCTACCGTTAGTTGATTAATATTAAATGGATATTGTGAAGAAGAACAATGCATAATGGTTTATACCACCCTGCATCTAAGTAGGGGCAGACCTCCACGAAAGGTGGGTGGCCATATGGACCTTGCAAGAACATGAGAGAGAGAGAGAGAGAGAGAGAGAGAGAGAGAGAGAGAGAGAGAGAGAG